GAGAGAGGGGAGGAGGGAAGAGCCCTCACTCTATTATTTAATCTACAGCCTAAGGAAAGGCCCATTGCTAATGTCCAAGCTACAAAGGAGCAACCACCGAAAAGCTCTGCTGTAGAGAACTTCTGAGTAGAATTCAAGCTTAAGGAAGGGTGAGAAAGAAGCAGAGAGCAACCGTCCAGCATCACTGACCCCTACCTAAGAAATGGCCAGACGTTTCTTGTCTTGTTTTAAGTAAAATAACTTTATCAGATACTTTGTTGGTTTGAACAAGAATTGCCCCCATAGGCGCACAGGTTTGAAGGCCTCGTCACTAGGGAGTGGTACTACTTGAGAGGTATTAGGAGGTGAGGTCTTGTTGGAGGAGGTATGTCACTAGGGGTGGGCTTTGGAGTTTGAAAAGCCCAAGCCAGTCCCCGGGCTGCTCTCTACCTGCTGCCTGTGGAGTCAGATGTAGAACTCTCTGTAGACCAGGCTGGCCTCGAACTCACAGAGACCCACCTGCCTCTGCTGGGATTAAAGGTGTGTGCCACCAACGCCCGAGATGTAGAACTCTCAACTTTCTCCAGCACCAAGTCCAGCTCTGCCTTGATGACAATGGACTCAGCCTCTGAGACTGTAAAGCCAGCCCCAGTCAAATTTTTATGAGAGTTGATGTGGTCACGGTGTCTTCACAGCAACAGAATACTGACTAAGAAGCCAGGAATACTTATTACAAAACTATTATTTTGAACCTAGAGCTTTTAAGAAAACAGATTTTAACCGAATAAAATTTGCACACAACTTCAGTGCACTATGGACATTTCCCAAACTGCCCCAGTGCTGAGAGGGGAACGGTACAGCTGCCTGGCTTCGGGGCAGTCTGCCATGCCCTAACGGTGGTGTGTTACCTTGTTTCTTTGTCCCTGGTTTGTCTTGGGGCAGGTTTTAATACCGCATGAATACAAGCACATCCTAAATGCTGAGGTTCTGACTAGAACTAAGAAAGAGCCGTTCTGAGGAGTGACATCTGAAAGGAGGTGTTAGGCATACAAGATGGGTAACATCTCCACAACCAAAGTACATTTGTTCACTCTAAGTCAATTATAGGTAAAAACAAATAAATAAATCACAAGACCAGTTTCCTGGCATGACAGCATGGAGTGCCCCAGAGCTCCAGCAAAGCTGACAGCCTATGAGCACCAATCTGAAACTCCGCTACCGGACTTTCCATTAGCATCTACTTGAGCTGCATTTCTAGTAGCAGTCCCTGCCCTGTGGCATGCCTCCAGCTCACCTGTGGCAGAGGCTGCTAGATCGGCTCCCAGAAGCTACCTAAGGAGGTCACATAAACAGGAATACGACCAGCCTCATTCTGAACACCAGAGAATAGGAACTAACAGTTTATGTCCTGGCCACTTGGTTCACAGAAACACACTACATCCTCACACCACCACCACCACCATTTTTCAGAAACACAAGTAAGTTAAGAGCTAGCCCCAAGGATGATATGATGGCTTAGTGGTACAGTTCTACACCTCCCACCCAGAGTTTACTGTACAGGGGTAGCACTTTCAGACTTGTTCATGCCATGCACTACTAAGCCAGAAGCTGGGGGTCCAGGGTGATGAGCAGCAGTCATTTATCTGCAGTTCTGAAATGTTTACTTTCTGCAAAGGGTCTGCGTTTAGCAGACAACACTCAAATTAGCCAAGCTTTGGATAGCAGTCCAGTCTCTCACACTTGGCATTATTTTCCTGAAAATCACAAGACTCTCTTAAGTCATCTGTCCCACCACCTAAAATAATCCCTTCCTTTTGCTGGCTCTTAAAGAGATACGGGGCTCAGGCTTCAAGCAAGTGTCCCGCTAACAGAAAGTTAGAAAAACTAAATTGGGGAGTGACTTTAAAACTTCAGCTGTGGGCAGAGCAAGCCGTGCTGTGAAGAGTTCACTGACATGTGGTCATTTCAACAAGTTTTGTAACCGTTATTGTGAGAGTCACCTCCATGGTACAGAGGTACAAAGGCACAGGCCTTGAGCTGCAACTGAATGGTAAACAGTAACCACGCCTCCTAGGTCAGGAAGATGGTAAAGTGGGTAAGGGTACCCACTGCCAAGCCTAAAGGCCAGAGTTTGCTGCCCCCACCCACATATGGAGGGAGAGAACCTATCTATTTCCACAGGTTGTCCTCAGATCTACACACACACTCACACAGACACACACACACACACACACACATGCACACACACACCACACTTACACACAGACACACACACAGATACCCCATGGTACCTGATAGAAAAGAATAAATTAAAACAAAAAAAATGTTAAAAAAAAAAAAAAGTAGTAACTGCTCTTAAGACGTTGACATTTTACTACTTTGCAATGGATTGCCTAAATGCAGTTTTAATAATTCTCACAAGAATATGAAAGGGGAGGGGAACCCATAGGCTCTCAAAGGGTAAGAGAACACTGTCCTTTTTAAAAGACTTTGTTATAAATATTACAGGTATTCCTGATGTATGGTCTACTACTCTACAGATCACACACATTCAATCACCCACCCACCCACTGGCCTCACCTCCAAATTCAGTAAAAATGTATCATATCTAGCTGTATTATTTCTTACTTTTATCACTAACTTCAACAATGTAGCATCTTCTATTCTGTACAATATATAAAAACTACATGTGGAGTGAAAATTAAATACTTAGAATATTTTGAAATAATTACAGCTCTCCAGCTGAGACTGTAAATTTAAAACAAACAAAAGAACTTGTTGCAGAGTATTTGTAGTGGTAGAATTTTGTATTCCTCAAAAGAAACAAGACAAAGTGCATATAACTACATTACTTAATGAGAAAGTAATGATGCCACTGTTTCTTTAACACCTTGTCTTTTATTTTTAAGTTATTTTTAAAAGCGAAGTGTGGGTATTTTCATATCAGATAAAGCATCTTGCAACACTACCTGAAGCTCCTAATATCTGAGAGATACATGATTGACAGATAATCCCTAAATCTAAAGCAACAAAGTAACTGCTTTCCAACTACAATTGTATTAGAGAAACTGACCATCAATAATAAAGAATCCATCGTCATTCTTGGGGTCCATGCAATGGTTGAGTGGGCAAAGGCACTTGACACCAAGCTAGATGACCTGAGTGTGAACCCCAGAACCCATAGGATGGAAGGAGAAACCCACAATGGCAAACTGCCCTCTGCACAAATACATGCAGGAAACAAAAATAAATGAATAAATAAATGTAAAGAAAATTTACAGGGCAAAACAAAAACAACTTCGCCAGCTCTCTTCCCCCTCACACACGTTTCTATTTCTAAACTTTGCACTGAGGAGTAACTGATACGTGTATGCGCTCATTATTTCAAGCAAAAAGCAAGCAGACGAGATCCATAAAATCAAGAGTGAAGCAGACGACACACACTGTCTTCCCATAGAGCCCTCGTTCTAGGCTTGACCCAGGAAATCTGCTGACTCTATCCTTTACCACCTCTCTGACCCTAGAAACTAGCTATGCAGGAAAACCTAAAAACCTTGAAAGGAAATCCCCTTTGTGGCCTCATCAGAAATAAACTTTTATAAAGAATGACTTAAGCGTGTATTCCCCACTCAACATCAACACTAAAAGAGAAACAATTAATTGAGGACATCACGAGAAGGAAATGTTCTTCTATCTATCTTTCTCCAGCACAAATTGGTTCTCCCACAGTAGGCCACGAGGCTGCTGTTTAAACACCACCTCGGCGTTTTACTTGGCCACGTCCTAAGCCTGCTCACCCACGTCACCCACTGATTACCTGTATCAAAACACACAGCCCCCAGCTGGGCCCCCCCTCCCGCCTCCCGAAGCAACCCCTCATGAGTACAGCTCAACCTTTTATAGAGGAGGCATGTGATGCGCGTATCTGCACCAGCTGTTCCTAATTACCTCTCAGACTTGGGTGAATGACTCAGCAACACAAACTCTTTTAAAGAGTCACCCTACCTTGTTATCCAACCAACGTAGCAAACAAAGGGAAACCACTTGACAGATCCGTCGGTTAAACAATACAAGAGGCGATCACTCCTCCAAAGCCACCTCGAACTCCAAGATGAATCACCAGGAGCCTTTTCTCCCCCTACACTTACCTTACGATGTCCAAAGCCAGAAGTGGCAAGCGCCTTCAAGCCCAGCCCCGAGCTTGCACCCCTACGCAGGAGCAGGAAGAATAGGCCAACCCATACCTCTTCCCATTTCTCTGAACGTGTGTAGCTTTCAAAAGCTCGGTCACTAACAAACAAATGTAGAGTGTCCATCCTTTAATCTTTCCGAACTGCCTTCCACGCAAACCCAGTGGGCTGAATTGAGTGCTCAAACACCGAAACAAAGACCCAACAGGGGCATCCTCCATAAGGAGCGGTCACAACTCTATACAATTCTCCCAAAAAAGAGCAGCATCCTGCTAAAACCAGCCTTTGTTCTTCCAAGCCTGTCTCTGGAGCTGGATTTCCCCACACACGTTCTTTCAGAATTACTACAACGTCTGCCTTGACTCAGCCCAAGCTGAAACGTAGAGAGCTCACTACATGAAAGCCATCGACGCAATTCCACCAAACGACACCACTAAGTGCCAGGGGAACAAGGAGAACGCGTAGGTCCTGGCGCTGCCGGACGCGAACACAAAGCTGGTGTCGTTGTCACCGAGACCCACTCTGCCCAATGCAGTGAGAGGCTAAATCACAAACGTGCGTAAAGCTGCAACAAAGGGAGGCCAGGCCCGCGGGGTGGTCCTGGCGTCCGATGTGGCTCGGCCTTGGCCCCCGCGCACAGGCAGAGCGGGACGCGGCCCGCGGAGCTCGGTGCAGGGCGGCGCCGGCTCGGCCGACCCGGGGAGTCCGCGCTGCGCGTAAACAGCTCGCAGCCCGCCGCCCCCTCCAGCCCGCGCGGCCGCCCGCCTCGAGCCCGGTTGACCCCCGGGAAGGACGGAAGGGCGACAGCCCCCCGCCGCCCGAGCCACTCACCGGAGCCGAGGCGCGGCGCGGCCCGACTGCAGGCGGCAAGCGGCGGTCAGGTGACTCACTCCCTCCGCGCGGCCGGCCGCCCGTCCCCTCCCCTGCGCTCCGCTCCACTCCGCCGCCACCGCCGCCAGCGCCTCCCGGCGCTAACGCCCCGCCCCCAGGCCACGCCCCGCGGCCTAAGCCCTGCCAAGCTCGGGGCCACGCCCCGTCCCGGGCCACGCCCTCCACGGGTGAGCTCCTCCCCACGGCGCCTCGGGCTGGTACGGTGCTGCGTCCAGGAGCTTGAAGCCCAGACGGAGCCTGGCGTCCAACCCGGTCTTCCTATCCCTGCCTCAGGTGGCGCGGTGACAAGCCAGCGGGGACCACCTCATCCTCACCTACCGAGGGAAGAGAAGGCTGCCGGCTCCATACCCCCCCAAGGGTTGTTGCGTTGCATTGCTCAGGGTACTCAACCCCACAACAGGTCAAATAAGGATCTTATACCCCCACGCCCCCCCCCCCAGAAACTTTGTAAGCTCGTCTAAGCCAAGCTCCTGGGCTGCTGTCCAGTGGGGGCGCGAGAGCCTGGTGTTTGAGCCTGCCGAAAGGGGTGTGTCAAGAACGTCTGTCTTTCGCGGGGCAGGGCATTCAGGAGCAGGTTTGAGAGGAACAGGCTGCCGCCCTCTCGATGATCACTAACTTCCCATCAAGTTGTTTGTGTCAGACGAGGCCCTTCCTTGAAAACCACAAGGCATGTGGCCTGGAGTGTAGTTTGTTCATTATACGAACCCACTAACATGCACGATTCTCCTATCAAATCCCTTTGCTGCTTGCACCGCACACTCTGCTTTGAGAGTTATCCCTGTGCCCTTCATATTTGCCTGAGTAATCGGCACCTTTTGTTTTGTTTTCGTCTTTCAAGACAGTTTCTCTGTGTGACCCTGGCTGTCTTGGAACTCACTCTGTAGACCAAGCTGGCCTGGAACTGAGATATCCACCTGCCTCTGCCTCCCACGTGCTAGGATTAAAGACCTGTGCTTCTTGTCTGCTAGCTGTGATGGGCTGCATTAACCAAAGGGCAGACACGTTGTGCTGGGCTTCACATCCGGAATATTGTAAAGGTGTCTGGCAGCCTATGTTTGTCCATCTATACTGTAGCTCCGAGGAAACATGGACCCAGTTTCAACGGCTGGCGTCAGCCAGAGGCTCCCCTCAAGCCCTGGCCATGCACTCATCCTCAGCTGCTTATTCAGGTATGTATCCCATTGCTCACTTTTATTTTTTATTGCACTCACTGTTGTTCAAAGCGGTGTCTTTCTGCACAGCTTCATGCACACGTGGCAAAGCTTACCAGTTTGTGGAAAGAGCAGAGTGCACTGGCCAACCTGATTAGAATAAGGAAGGAATCACCACCCCCAAGGCCCAGTAGCTCTGGATTTGTGGAAAGGAATAATATTTCTGGCTTTTGAGTTCAAGTGGAAAGGTGGAGAAAAATGGGTGGCTAAACACCAGCAACCCCAAAATGTATATACTCCTTAAACACAAGCAGAGAGCCCAAGGGGTCCAGGAGAGGGGTGGCTATGGAATAGTAATATCATTTACATGGTTGTGTCTGTTCATTGCATAAGCTCTTGTGAGTTAAGGACATCCAGTTTCCTCCAAAACAAGTGTGGAAAGGGTGGCTTCGAGAGGAAGGGATGGCAGAGCAAAAACCAGGGCTTAGCTGAGGTGAATGTGGTCCAACAGGCTATGGGGGAATAAGAGATGATGGAGGTGGCATTTTCAGATGCCTGAGCTCATGGTGCAGGTATTTACTTAGTGACGAATTGGGGGACGACACTTAGGGAGAGACCCACAAGAAGGATGAGGGCTCTGAGAGACACCCGAGAGTTCTGAGGGTTCTTGGTGTCTCCTTCCATTCTGACCCAAGGGAACTATAATCACGCCTCTAACGTGCATTGCTTAGATAAACTGCCTTGTGCTGTGTGGTATTAGCTCACCCAGAGGCTTCCTCCAAACATGCTTATCCTGACTTGCCTCCCAAGAGCATCTCTCTTAGCATGGGCTGCCCTGCACCCCCAACTCTATGACAAGAAGGAGAGAAAGACAGCAAAGAAGACCAAACGTTAAAGCCTTGTGCCCATGAGAAGAGCTAAGGCAAGCCAATTCCAAACAGGTTACTATTGCTTTTCCCGTGTTATTAAAAGGTCTACTTCTGTGAAATAATCCTTCCGTACACTGTGAAGATTTGTTGCTCTCATTAGTTGGCCAATGTCTAGGCAGGATTTCCGAGGCAGCGAGAATATTGGGGAGAAGCAGTCTAGACAGAACTCCAACCACAGTCTACAGTGGGCAATAGAAATCTGAAGTTCAACCTTGAGAGTCTCAATCGTGGGGAGAAGGCTCGACTGGGAACTCCAGCTGACTGCTTCACACTCCATAGTCAGGTGCTGTGGACATTGTCAGAGCCCTATTTGATGGTGTCATCTCTAAATATTGTTGTTTTCTTTATACTCGGAAGCCCCACTTGAAGGAGGGACAGACACTCTGCCTGGGACTCTTGATAGGGAACTGCAGCTATCCACCTCACAGGTACATTCCCCGGTCTATTTCTGCTGGCTGTTTGAGTACTCAGTTTTATGATTTATTACTCTGCCCATCTACCCTTTCTATTCATTCTGTAACTCTGACTTCTGTGTACTGAATAAATTAACTCAAAACTAAAAACTGGGCTATTTAGATAATTCTCAGAATGGCACCTGTGAAGTCTTTCTTGGTGGGCATGAACATTCTTCTGTCTTTTAGGCCATGACTTTGACTTTCGATCATGACAGCCTGTATTCTGATCAGTTGTATTGAACTTCCCTACAAAGGCATACCAAGATGTTGAGACAGTCAGGACAACGAGTAAGAATATCCACAGGATATTAAAATGCAGGCTTCCGGTCCTGCCTCCCTGACATTCTAATTCCACGGGACGCCAAGAGGCTCAAGGATCAGTATTGTCAGGATTGATGAAGGTGGGCTTCATTCGGGTCATCGTTGAGAAACACCAACAGAGGATGAAAGTAAAAACCATGCCAATGGGAAGAACCATGGGCTGTGCATCCTAGGCTGACAAGAAATCCTTATTTAGGTTGTGTATTATTTAAATTAATTCTTAAGTGGAGAAGAATAGAAAGGTGATGAGTGTAGGTTAGATGAAAGGAAGGATGATAATTTTCAGTATTTTTTTTTAACCAAAACTACCTTTAAAAAAAAAAAAAGAACAAATCTTGCTTTTAATGTCTGGCTCTCAGTACAGCTATTCACAGTCAGCTGCCTGGCCTGAATCAGCCTTCTTGACTTCCTGAATTAACACAGCCTATTAGTTGCTAAGCCATTGAACCCTGGACATTTTCCTCCGTTGCAGATTCACTGGGCTTGTTTCCTCTCACCCTGATGAACATGTTGACAAGTTGAAGTACACATTTTTTATGCTCCTATAAGAGTCTTTTTCATCATTTTTGGTCAACTTTGAAAGATATCAGTCTTGGGATCTCTTGCCATTATGCATTCATTAAAATACTAATTTTAAAATTGCTCAAAATTATCTTTCACTCTAATGAGATTATTGTTTCTTTCCCATTTTTAGTGGGAAAAAAATCTTTAATTTGGGAGATGGCTCAGCCATTAATGTGTTTACCTTGCAAGTATGAAGACTTTAATTCAAATACAGTACATACCTGTAACCCCAACACTGGAGCTCTACAGCCATTCGCCCCAGCCAATAATCTTCAGGTGTCAGTGAGAGACCCTGTCTCAGAAACAAAATAAGGTGAAGAAGTATTACAGAAGACACCACTGACCTCCATATGCATGTGCATAGATGCATGAACATATCTGCACATATGTCCCCTACACACACACACACACACACACACACACACACACACACACCACATCCTAGTCTATTGATCACTTGACTAGCAGAGTGATGGCCAAGTTTTCTGTGTGAGCAGCTTTTGTCAATATACCATCCTTCTCATACAGCATTACACATAAGTATTACCACGTTTGTTCCAAAAATAATACTCTTTTTTTCAAACAGCTCATCTCTGTTCTCTTTTGAGATATAATACTGGATTTAATCACAAAAACAAAATTGTGTCATTAACACTGAAAAGCATTTAAATAACTCCAAGGCACAAGCCAAGAAGAGCTCTTTTCCAGAGAAATCTAAACATATCCACCGTCATTTTCTGTTCCAGGGACAGAAATGCCTTGCATGGCTCTCAAAAGTGAAAAATCTAAATCCTCCCATGAAGCAGTATGTGGTAACTGTAAGGGAGAACATGGCACAACGTTTGGATGAGACAGACATACATCTATCCCGTATCAGATGACAGCTGGGCTCTTTCTGTTCCCTTTCCCATCAGGGAGATCTGCGCATTCACACACACTGCTCAGCCGCACTCAGCGCTGTGTCTAATTTCCTAGATCGCCCCTACACATCCTCTAGCCCTGGCCCAGGACGTTGTCTTTCATCGTGCCCCCGCTCTCTTGAGTTTCTGTAAGTAACCATCCACTAATTTCCCCCAGCAAAAACTCTGTGTGGGGGCAAAAATCTAGGCTTTAAACTGGAAGTGGAGAGTGTTGACGTTCACCTGCAGAAACCTTCATTTGGAACTGCAAATGTGTGTGAGTGTGAATGTGTGTGTGTGTGTGTGTGTGTGTGTGATGGTGAGGGTGTGTGTGAGTGTGTTCATGAGTGTGTGTCTGTGTGTTTTTGTGTGTGTGTTGTATGTGTGTGTGTGAGATGGTGAGGTTGTGTGCCTGTGTGTGTGAGTATATGTGTTTGTGCGTGTGTGTATATGTGTGTGTGTGTGTGTGTGTGTGGTATGTGTGTCTGTGTGTGAGAGAGTGTTGTATGGGTGAGGGTGTGTACCTGTGTGTATGTATGAGAGAGAGAGAGAGTGTGTGTGTGTGTGTGTGTGTAGCAATGTTCCCCTGGCAACTGAGCTGAGGAGGGGGTGGAGAGGAGGTGGCCTCTGATCTGCAATGCCCACAAAGTCTGCAGTAAAGATGGAAGGCAGAGAACAGGCATGGTGGCACATGGACCTGAATTCAGTCTGGCCTGTATGGTAATACTTTCTCAAAACAAGTTTTCAGAGCATCTAGATAGCAGACAAA